CCGACTCGGCGGCCCCTCCTCCACTCGAGGTCATACAAACACACACGCATAAATACGATTGACAATACGCTCCATTCAGGGTCCCTGCGATAGTCGAGATGCCGAGGTGACGGTTAGCACGAGATCGGACGACGTTCGATTCCCGCATAAAGACGAGGAAAAAAAACTTTTTTTCATAAATTTAAAAATTGAGCGCCGCGCGATACAGCGGTGGCGCCATCTTCCATCCTGCGCGCGCACCACACACACCTCTCCATTACAACAATAAGCGAGAGCGAGACGACAAACAGGGATCCAAAAACGCCACGTGTTAGACAAGGAGAGCGATACCGTTTCAGTAGACCGGAAGTCCATAAGATTTACACGGAGCTTGTGTGACGTCAGCCCCATTTATTAACTACTTACATAGAACATAGCAAAATAAATCAATAATGAGATGTATATAACAAATTGACAAGATGTATGCAATATGGTTAAATACATAGAGATCTCAGACTGGAGAGACGTTAGAGAGAGAGGGTACGGTGACCATTTGAGAGGTCCGAATCGGTAGGCAAAACAAAGCAACTTCCAGTTAAAATTTACTTTTAATTACTCGCTTCCTGGTGTGTGTGGCATTTCTGTGCAGTTCTAAAGTGCTTGTTTTCTTACAATCGCAATAATAACAATCATATTCACGATGGTTACATCTTGTTGTGCATTTGGATGCGAGGAGCGGCATCACAAAGGCTGTAATATTTCATTTCATCGGTGAGATATCTGCTGAATAATTTTTTCATACAATCTTTATTTAATTTAATTTCAGTTTTCCGACAAATCTGTTGCTAAGAAAGCAATGGATTGTTGCACTTAAACGAGATAAATTTGTTCGGACGTCTGCGTCAAGAGTGTCTAGCAAACATTTTAAAAATGAGAATTTTCGGCAGTTAATAAATTCTGTTAATCCCACACAACAACTGAGAATTTTTCAAAACATAAAAAAAAATGAAACAAGGCCTAGAAAACTGACTAACAATGAGACCCAATGAAACCCTTTCGGCACTGCTAAATTTAAAAAAACAGAGGTGAACTTACAAAGCCATCAGTTGATGTCATCAAAGTTTGTAAGATAGCTGAAACCACTTTCAGAACTATGAAATATAATATTTCAGCGAATGTTATTAATATTCTTACAATTAAAACCATTAGATTACTAAATTTCAGAAATATGTTTAATGTCTTAAATGACCACATTTTGGATCAAGATCCACTTAACAATCATGTAGTCCAGTTGGTTTATGTAATTTTACGTATTTTTTTATTATTAGACTGAATTATGAAAACCGCAGAAATAATCAAGTTCCTAATAAAATCAGACAGGTATACACAAAATTAATTTTGTTCAATAAATTGTGTGTTTATATTCATTTTGTATTGTATGTATATACAGTGTCCTACAAAATAAAAAAAAACGACAACAAAGTTGAATTTTAAAATCATTTTTACATGATCTCCTATTTAACTCAACGGCACCGAAGCTCGTTCTTGCCTACCGATACGTGTTGGCCTTGTCTAACAACACTCACTGTAGATATGTTTATTTCTCTCTCTAGTTGTCACCGCATGCGAGCGGTATTACGCGCCTCAACATTCCATCCATTAGTTATTAGATCATTGGTTAAATATAATGATAATGCATGCGATTGCGAAATTATCTTTTGCACTTCACCGACACTACACACACCACCACTTCCTTTCCAAAATGATGTTGGAGGGCCGCGTCCTAACCGCCACTGTAGACGCGGAAATTTCTCCTCCTTCACGAGGACCCATCTTGCCATTCCTGGAACGTTGGAAGATGGCCTTTGCCACCCTAACCTGCCTTTCAGTGTGGTCAAATATTCGAGGTACCACGACTTCCAGAAGTGTTGATGGTAAGCGTGGATGAGATGCCAAGGGATGGCCGGTTGATGGGAACGACGGCGTGGTCTTTTCCTGAGAGACCCGTTGATGGCTGGCCGAAAGAGGCATTGGCCAGGTATAAATGCGACCAAATTATTGCGGTCGCTGGACAGATGCTTCGAAAGGCGCGAATTCAGGACGGCTTTAACTCTGACAATGAGCGCATACACGCCCTCGCCCTCAAGATGGTTTTTACCAGTAATTTCGTTATGACTCCGGCGATTCATATTTAAACTCTTTGAACTAAGATTGGAACGGTCAACAACCTCGCAAAGTTTATTGGAAGAAATGTGGGGATTTAGAATACAATTGTGTGACAGGTAAACGGAATTATTTGAGGAATTTTCCTTAAGTACCTTCAGGTGTACAAGGTCTAGGTACTTCCTTTGAGAGACAATAAAACCCTCGTTACGTTTATGATTATGCCCCTCTGCTAACAATAGCAATTGGAGAGCGAGTTCTGGGGAATTTCCTAATTTAGGTAGATTTTCGAAATAAGGGACTGTGGAATGCCCCAACTTCCTCTCGACTGATAATAGCCACTTTGGATGCATTTGTGTAAACCGCGGCTGATTTTCCGAAAAGGGGTGTTTGACCATGAAATAGCCATCGGGTGAATGACCTGTGGTAGTATACTGAAAAGAGGTTGCACAAAGATCGCTTTTAAACCCTCTGCTTAATGACCTACTTCCGGTTTTGACGGTTTCAGCTTCCAAGAACCGAGAAATAATTTGGGCTGAACTAATTTTGTGATGATGGGAAGTATTATTTTTTACATATGCAAAACTGCCGCTAAGAATCAACCCCAGCGCGGTATTTTGAAGCACCGGTGGGTTTTTACTGAAATGACTTGTTATTTTGGGTTTAGCATTTTCGGAATGTTTTTTCTTGTCGAGTATTGCTACGTTTGACGTGTTGTCTTTAATATTTGAGTCTACGGATTCACATAAATATTGCGACCTAATTTTAAATTGGTTACAGACTAACAATGAGCCACAGTTTTTTGAATTAACTGGAGGACTTTTTACTTTGTCTAGTGCGGTAGATGACTCTGCATTAGAAGTTTTATCTAAATTAATTTGAGATACGCCTTTGGAGTTGTAACAATCATTAAAAAGATTATTTTTCTCTTCATTGGGTGTTGAATTTGGAAATTTTGAAGGATTTGATATTACACTAGGAGTTTTTGAAATAACGGAATCAAGAGGAGATTTTTTACCAATAGTGAACCGCAATTTACGTAGAGCATTGAAATGGGTTTTGTGAATTTTGATGGGTTCTCCACTTCTTAATTTGTGTACCTTTAAAGGCTTTAAATTTTGACAAGTTTTTTCCAGATCCGTGGTTGGTACGTTATTGTTTATCTTGCATGAATTCGAGAAAGTACACAATGGAATAGTTTTCTCAATGAGAGCCTTATATAATTCGGATATTTTTTGAATATAATTTAGCACTTCTCTGATATTATAAATTATAGGTTTGATCGTTTCCGTGTTACTCGTGTCATTCGGGACTACTATTGTTTCAGATTTATGCTGAACTACAAGCATTTGTAATTCTGAATAAATTCGCTGTACGTCTTCATATCGACGCTTTAAGTGGCCTCTTTTTTGATGATTTGCAACATTTGATATAAAATTAGAATGTGAATCTATTTCGCTGAGAAGAATTGAAAATTTAACAAAAGTATTGTCTTGGATTACCACCATCTTGAGTACGAGAATAATGTATTACACCAACCAAACAGAATTAAAGCTTACCTGGAATTCTGGATTCCTGGATAGAATTATCTTGGCTGACGCTGAATGATACTTGAGGATTTTGCACAGCACTCGCGGTCGTCACCGATAGTTGAACACTGCGCGGATGATTTCTGGGTGATGTTTTGATAACTACTTTGCTGAATTCCAGCCGATGAATGATATGTTGAGAATTACACTTATCACTACCACTGTTATTCTGTCGCTAATCCGGCTCGAAGGACCATGTCGAAGTTTGTATAAATGAATAAGACCAGCGAACAGTAAGATAAATGTATATTGCTAGTGACAAGTGTTATGATAAATAAGAATGGTAAGTATAGAATATTATATGACCGTGCGGTCGAGATAGTTGAATGTTAGTTACGAATTGAGAATTGAGAATTGAATGTGTATGAATTAGTTAAGAATTAAGAATGAATGCTACCCTGTGTTCCAAGGTGGGGGTGGCTCTGGCTCCCACCCTTACGGGTGGGGATGGGTGAAACAGGTCCCCGCCAGAGGCTCTAACATTATTATTAATAATTAAGAAATTATGTTCTTAGTTTTTATAAAGAAAATTATGTACTTTGTAAACTAGAAGCATTTAAGCTCGTAGGGCAAAATAAACTATGGTAGTGATTGTGTAGGATATTGGAGATATGGAATATGTTCAATTTTCCCAGTTCTAATTCAGTTTTATGATGTGTAAAAGTTAACTTCCTTAACAACAGATTACTGCTGCCGGTGATGGGACAGTCATAAACAGAGATTTAACCATCCTGTATATGACTGTCCTATCACCCGCAGTAGTAATCTATTGCTAAGGAGCCTAACTTTTACACAATGGGGTACTATCATAAAACCGAATTAGGACTGGGGAAACTATATCTATTTTAATTGTCGTTTTCAATTACATATTTAATTTCGTTTGAATTTAAGGTTTGTATTGATGGTTGCCGACCAGTTCTTATTAATTTTTGTCCCAATAAATTTAGTTATTGACTTATAACATAGTTATTTCAAATGGATCATAACAATAACGTTACATTTAATCAGTTAACCAAGACATAAATTATTTTACACTTCACGTTTTTTCTCTTGACATGACGGTGTCTGCGAGGGCCGGTCATTTTGAGTAAATTAAAACAAAGGTCAATCTAATTTGAAAATATATACGACAAACAAAGTAACTGCTCGTCTATGCCGCAGGAGCAATTTTTTTGAAATATTTACTATTTCGAACAAAGGAGAATAAAGATCCAAAGACTCCGCCATCTATGAGGCTCCGTTCAAATTAGGCGCTCTTTGCCACTCACGTCTCACGTTCTCTCTTTTTCTAGAATTTCTAGAAACGTGCGTACAGGCGGTCGAGCCGGTAAATCGTAGTTTTTATTTCGCGGATTTGTGGTATTAATTGCAATTTCAACGGTAAGTTTTAACAGTTATTTGCTCCATAAATGCTCTGCTTTAATCGCTTTAAAAGAAACTATGTTAAACCATCGTTTTGTGCTAAAAATGTATAGATCTTGTCAGCGATACACGTGTCCACCACTTTATTCCTTAAATTTATTCGGTGTTAATTAATTCAAAACAAATTCTGGATTAAAACTTAATCGTTATATTTAATTAAGTCATTCCATCTCCACATTCTAAAAAAATTGTAAAATCAGTCCACCAACTTTGAAGGTTATGTCGCACCCGGCCATTTTCTTTATCATTAGTAGGCTCTGTATTTGTTTGAAATTTTCACTGAATCCACTTTTGACATTTTTTTCATATTCTGCGGATACATAACACATTCACAAACAAATTTTCAGATGTATCGTCTACCATCAACCATGCGGTCAGTGGCTCTGACTAAAGCCAACAAACTCCACCAAATCCAGCGCTGGTACGCCAAAGATGTGCGTTTCGGCCCAGAAGTTCGAGCCCTAATGCTCCAAGGGGTCGATGTGCTAGCAGATGCCGTTGCGGTGACCATGGGTCCAAAGGTAACATTCTAATCATCAAGCAAACAGTGTTGCATAATTCGTTTCAGGGGCGCAATGTTATCATAGAGCAGTCGTGGGGCTCCCCCAAAATCACGAAAGACGGCGTTACAGTCGCCAAAGGCGTGGAATTGAAGGATAAATTCCAGAACATTGGAGCTCGACTTGTGCAAGACGTGGCTAATAACACAAATGAAGAAGCTGGTGATGGCACAACTACAGCGACAGTGTTGGCTCGATCAATTGCCAAAGAAGGTTTTGAGAACCTTGGCAAGGGGGCTAATCCCGTGGAGATTCGAAAGGGAATCATGTTAGCTGTAGAAAAAATTACTGAAACATTGAAGTCGTTATCAAAACCTGTTACTACGCCAGAAGAGATATGTCAAGTCGCTACCATTTCAGCCAATGGTGATAACTCTGTGGGTAACTTAATTGCTGATGCAATGAAAAAGGTGGGGAAGGAAGGAGTAATCACGGTTAAGGATGGAAAGACCTTAAATGATGAATTGGAAGTCATTGAAGGTTTCAAATTTGATCGTGGATATATTTCACCATACTTTGTTAACACCTCAAAAGGTAAGTTAAAATTCAGGTTGTGGTTATTTTTGATTTGGCACATCTTAGAGCTTGATCGATTTGTGTTCTAATCGATTAGGTGTCGGAAATGTGCAAAAGAAATGAGTTCAGTCTTCTAGAATGTCGAATCTTTAAAAATGTGAGCCGACTGAAGCTGAACTTGAACAGTTTTTTTTTTCCTTTTTAATATAAATTTTGTTTCGGTAAAAAATTAGGTCGCGTCGTAAGTTTCAGAATTAAAACCAAAGATTGCATCTACAGTTTTACAAATTTTTTTTTTATATATAGTAATTTGTGTTTAACCTTCTGTAATAATAGTATTTTGACGGATATGTGATCATGTTTGTTCACGAAGTGGGTTGTGGCCGGTTTTTTTTTTTAAGTAATTAATGTCCGTTTGCACCGCACTTTGAATCACCTGATTGGAGTTATATTTTACTTAATTTGACAGATTTGTGTGCAGATCGCCCAAATTAAATAAAACATACGTTAATCACCTGATTAACGTTGTTTTACTTAATTATACATATTTGCAAATAAATCTGTCAAATTAAACAAAACATATTAGGTGATTAAAAGTGCAAACGGGATGAAGTACAGTGCAACAAATCCCGCTTCTTTGAAAAATTCATGGAGGTCGAATGGAGGTCATTCTACCTCCACGGAAAAATTATAAAATTGTAATTGATGATTTTTTTGTGATAACCTCCATAAAGTGAAAATAGTGTGAATGCATTGATAAACAACAAGAATAGACTCATAATGTTTTATGAAATGTGGGGGGCAAAATTTGAAGATGATGTCATCAATTAGGGGGAGGGGGAGATAAAGTTTTGATAACGATCTGCCATGCTTACGATAACCTTAAAAATTTTGCGAGATTTCAAACCATTCGGTTTTCCACTTCCAAAGTTAAATTGTTACAGATTAACCAGTTTTGATTGATTACTTTCCAAAATTCTTGATGTTTGGGGTAAAATATGAACACGGATTCGTAAACCACAAGTGCAGGAATACATTATTTTATCAAATTTAAACGACATTTAGAACTATTGTAAAATTTGGTTAGCGATTGACCATCTACACGATATTCCTAACATATGTAAAATTTGATAACAATCGGTCCGGTGGTTCCGAACATTGTCTGTCTAATTAAAGACAGACGGGTGGACGGAAATTATGAAACGTCGAAAAAGCATAAAAGTAAGTAACCAGTCGCCCGATCGAGCCTATTACAATACTTCCTTAGCTTACACTTTGAAAATAAGAATTTTAAAAAGTGACAGAAAACTATGCACATTTCTGGCCAAAAGAAAACTACTTTTCTTTAAACAGATCAACTTTTTACTTCTAAAACGTAAGCTAGGGAACTATTGTAATATGATCTATCTGACGAACGGCTACTTTTGTTTTCTTGACGTTTCATGGCCCTTGAGTAGAAAAAATAGGTCTCCTATTTTCTTCGGTCTATCTGCTGTCTATGTAAATTTGTATTAAACAAAAAATCTCCAAAACCATCAGACCGTTTATTGTAAAATTTCATATATATGTTAAAAATATCGTATAAATGGTAAAACAACCAAAATTTGACTCATTGTCCCCACCATTAAATATTCTTCCTAAGTTACATAACACGTATGTAGCTGTGAAAGACATGCCCGATCGACATGTGGTGCTCAGCCTTGCTTGCAGCAGAAAGATCGGCGGTTCGATTCCATTTATCGGTGTTTTCCATTTATTTATTTATTTTTTTATCATATCAAGAACTGTACTCCATACTCTCGAAAATTTAATAACTACTAAATAATTATTGTAACAACAGCTCCTCACTAACGATAATATTCGGATCGTTTTGCTCCATTACAGCTTAATTAATTATTTAGTTACTCCTTTTCGCTATTTTGAGGAGACAAAATCAATTAAATTTCATTTTCTTTTAACACAAATGCCGCCGCTAATGCTTGTTATTTAAACGTCCCAATGGTCAAATTCTTCGAAGTAAAAACATCCAAAATTAAGCATCTACTGAGAATACATTTTTTCCTGTTGGCTTTAAATATTTTTCATATTGTTCAGATCGCGCCCTCTTGGAATTTGCGTCCCTGCGGCTCAGGGATTATAGGAATCTTATTTACGCCATTGGTTTTTAGTTTATGGCGATTATCACAAAATAAAAATCGCAAAATTTTACTATTTTTTCAAAGAATCAGGATTTGCTGAAATACACTTCAGGGGCGAGGGAACTTCTGTTGAAATAACCTTTGACCATTTTTTTTCTTTAGCATTATTCGGGAAGTAAAAATAACTGTAAAACCGGTTATGGTGTTTATTTTTAGTTTTGACAAATGTCGTAATTTTTTTTCGATGTTTCATAATGTATGCAAACGAATCGTTTCCGTCCAAAAGACGTCATCTGTACCTGTGACAGCTTTTTCTATGGTTTCAAATTATTCATGTCTTTAACTTTACGTATACGGATGATTTAAAAAAAAAATAAAATAAAATTTATACAATCAAAGTTTGGCAAGATACCAGCATTGATTAATCAAAAAAAAATTTGAGATGCTAACGTTTTTTTAATGATTACAGGACAACAAAATTATAGTTACTTTCTTCAAATGAAGTCTGACTGGTATTTAGTAATGTGGCATTAATTTTTGATGACAAAATAACGATCCACGTTTTCCCAGTCCATTTTCAATACAATTTTTCCAGTATTTAATATTCAATTTTTGACGTCCTTTTAAAATGTACCCTAATAGATTTGGAATGAAATCCAAAAAATGGCCTAAAGTTGTTTAGATAGATCTTCTCACGCCTTCACAAACCTTTTAAGTCCAGTTTCTTGGATAAATTATAATATTTGATAAACATATTCAGATTAGAGATTTATCATGTTTTTTGTTGTACAACAGACGACAGAAAACGGGAAACTTACTTTTCCATCTTTTAAGAACAATGAAACGTCGAGAAAATATGAAATTAACTGTGCGTCAAATACACTTTATTAGTTATAATTACCAGGCTTCGGCATAACGGAAGTGATGCTCATCGCTATTCGATTGCCAGCGCTATTGCAATCACGGTCACGTTTTCTGTTACAACGTCGGGAATTCTTAATAACAATGACTATTTTTTCTAGGATTTTCTCAGTTATACGAGTTCCCCTAAAGTTAAAATTGCTTTATAAAATAAAAATTACTGTTTAACATCACAATTTTCGTGGTGATCTTGATGTTTACCGAGTAAATTGAAGACACTAAGTGATCAGATTTTGACAGTCTAAATATTGTTAATATTATTCACACTTCACTGTTATAATACACTTATAACACAAATGTCCACAAAAATGCGTAACATTTTTGTGGCTTCACTGTCTATTGTATAAAGTGAACAATTTGTTTACCCTTTGGTCAAGGAAACTCATCAAGACCTTGTTTTATGTCTTAAGTTTGTAACAGAGCAAATTTCAAATGTAAACAATCGAACTTAAAGTAAAATTTTGAATTTCTAATTTGTGGATTGTCATTCTAGAGTGAGTGCAACAATATTGGTATTTTTATGGCACATTGCGCGGCGTATGTATTATTTGTTAAAATTTAAATGTGATAGTAATGTTTCAAAAGAAATATCAAATCAAGACCCATATCTAAATTGTAATTTCAAACAGGAGCCAAAGTGGAATATCAAGAGGCTTTGGTCCTGCTCAGCCAAAAGAAAATTTCATCCGTTCAGAGCATCGTCCCAGCCTTAGAGTTAGCAAACATGCAAAAGAAACCTTTAATAATAGTAGCTGAAGATATTGACGGTGAAGCCTTGACTACCCTTGTCGTCAACAGATTACGCATAGGTCTCCAAGTCGCCGCTGTTAAAGCTCCAGGCTTTGGAGACAATCGAAACGCTACCCTACAAGATATGGCAATCGCAACCGGTGGCATTGTCTTTGGAGATGAGGCCAACATTGTCAAACTAGAAGATGTCCAACTCTCTGACCTTGGCCAAGTTGGTGAAATTGTAATAACCAAAGATGACACACTTATTTTAAAAGGAAAAGGCAAAAAAGATGATATAACTAAACGCGCTGACCAAATCAAAGACCAAATCGAAAATACCACCTCAGAATACGAAAAAGAAAAGCTGCAAGAACGATTAGCCAGATTGGCTTCCGGCGTTGCATTGCTGAAAGTAGGCGGTAGCAGTGAGGTGGAAGTTAATGAGAAGAAGGACCGAGTAACTGACGCCTTGAATGCTACAAGAGCAGCCGTAGAAGAAGGAATTGTCCCTGGAGGTGGCACCGCTTTGCTCAGGTGCTCAAGCAGTTTAGATAATATTAAACCAGCAAACAATGACCAAACAATTGGTAAGCTGTTAACTAGACAAATAACTCGTATTTTAGGTATATTTTTATAGGTATTGAAATCGTTAAAAGGGCGCTCAAAGTCCCTTGCATGACTATTGCGAAAAATGCAGGAGTGGATGGTGCTAGTGTTGTTGCTAAAGTTGAACAACAACAAGGAGACTATGGCTACGACGCACTAAACAATGAATATGTCAATATGTATGAAAGAGGCATTATTGACCCCACGAAGGTAGCTAATTTTTCTTTCGTTTTGTACTGTATTGTATTCTCACTATAACTTCTATAGGTGGTACGCACAGCTTTAATTGACGCATCAGGAGTTGCATCCCTCTTAACCACCGCTGAAGCAGTAATCACTGAAATTCCAAAAGAAGAACCTCCAATTCCATCAGGTGGCATGGGTGGCATGGGAGGTATGGGAGGAATGGGCGGAATGATGTAAACATCCTCTCTAAGAACTGATTTTGTTACTAAACCCACCACCGCTAGAAAAGACAATGCTAGTTAGGTTTTAGTTCAGTGCAACTTTCCAAGTGTGTGAACTTGTGAAATGACATTCGTGTCAAAGACTTCCACTATATCTTGACCGAACGTCAGTAACTTACATTAAGTTTGTGTGGTTCTTTTGTTGAATGTATTTGCTTTCCGACTCCCAGTTTTGATAATAGTGAAGAGTTGAAAGCATGTTCGTGTTAGTTTTATTATTTTTGTAACGCGACTGTAACGAATGTAAAATATTGTAATGTCACTAAAAGTTGGCATGAACTTGAAGTTGTTATAATTTTTTTTTTTAATAAAATGGAAATGAACTTCAAGTGATTGTTTGATCTGATCCATTTTTTTACCAGTGCATTTAGTTTGTTTGTTATTGAACTTGTAGTATTTGAAATATGTAAAAATTACATTACTTGTTAAAATATAGTTATTTTTTACAACCGTTTCTTTACTTAGTCACATAATAGAGGACTGGCAATGCAGAATATCGTACTGCCTCATAAACCGTTAAAAGTGGTAAGTGAGATGTGAACATGAAATGTGATGTTTAAAGAGAATACAGGGTAAGTTAGCTAAAATAAGACACCCTGATTAACTTTTTTATTTATTAGAGTCATCTTATTAAATTTGCAAATGGAGAATAATGGCCCACGTGCGTACGTAAATTCACTACTTAAAAAAAAAACAAGGAAAAAGTAATTTTTATATTTCAGATTTTGCATTTTTTTTTTTAATTAGCTTTATTATATAATCTGACTAATGTTCACAAGCGCAAATTACCGTAAAATGTTCAGAAAAGCATAATGAATGAAATAACTTCGTGAGGCTCGAAAATATTAGATATACCATTACTTTGTAAAAATGTGTTAAAAAACGAAACGCAGAAAATGTTTTAAGAAAATATTATTTTACAAAAGTAAATAAAACATCAAAAATAACAAATATTGAACTTTGTAGAGTTTTTTTTTTGTTTTATGGCAAAAAAATCAGATACATTTTTTAAAAAATTTACAATTTTTTTTTATCTGCTTTCCGTCAATTACATATTTCATGGTAATGAAGTCATGCATATGTAGAACTCATTCGTTTTTATTTCTAAACTAAATTCCGTTAACATAGATGTTTAGCTCTTGCTTGTTGAAAACTAGAAAAGTTAGTGAAAGAAAATAACTTCTGCAGATTTGTGAATACTGAACTGTTGAAAATGGTATCCATTCTCCTGTATGCACAAATTGACACGTCTTTTCATGTTATCAAATACATTTTGTAGTGTAGCAGAATAATGCGAGCACACTCTTCGGTAATTCTGTCTTTCAGTTCTTTCTATGATGTGAATAGAAGTTTTAAAAATAGTGTGTTTTAGATGACCAAACAAGAAGTAATCCAGAGGGGTTAAATCTGGTGACCTTGGGGGGTACTCAGGAAACGAAAAACTTATCACTATATTATCAAAGAATTGTACTGCTGTATGTGCCGTGGCAATGTTATGTTGAAAAAATTCGTCTTGGAGTTCAACATTATGTTAAATTATGTCTTGATCCAAATGATTGGTTACTTAAAACAATTAGGTGTGAGAGTTTATAATATCGCGAACTGCTTATCCCAAACAAAACACATGATAAATAAGTAAAAATATCCAGTCATCGTTGCGAGGAAAAAACATCTGAGTGATCTAATTTTTAGCGTTGCGAGGAAATGCCTTGCTGATGTAATCAATCTTTAACGTTGCGAGGACATGCCTCGGTGATGTAATCTGTCTTTAATGTTGCGAGGAAATGCCTCGGTGGTGTAATGATGATAACGATGATAACTGCCTAAGGGAAGAAATTATTTTAAGCCGCCGCCAGTTCGCGATATAATAAATGAATTATTAGCAATCTCGTGTGAAGAATTAAGAAGTGTTATAATGTAACACTTAAGTATTAGAATTCATAACTTGTAAACAAGCGGTGTTATCCTGACTAAGTGAATTTCATGAAATCTCCTAGCAAGTGTCTGTTAAATTGTGTTAGCACCAGTTAACGATTAAAATCCTAACCTGATAGGTAAATTTACAAACAATAAAACAAATTTACAGCACGTGTAGCGTCGGTCGAAAATTAGCACTTTTCTGATTAGAAAGCCGCAAGAATTAGCTGCGCGGGTTGGGGAAAACTGGGCTTCCTCCGTTTTATTAATTATCAAACCAACTAATTTAACCTAGCTAACTTACAGCGTCCTTTTCACCATGCTCACACAACACCGAACCAAACAATCATGACGCTTTCACCATGCTCTCTCCGTGCCGCTATCTTGTTTACTCTACCGCCCTCTAACTAAAACATCCCCTGGCGAGCTACCAACCACCCGCAAAGCGCTAACGTCCACATGGTTCCCTATGTTTAACGATTTTTTTGATTGATTTTTTTTCAAATTCAAATTATTCAAATGTGGTTTCGCGCCGCTGTTAATTAATTTCAGCGCGAAAATTTGATTCAAATTCGGTCACCATCACCACAACGTAAAGAAACCAACCATAAATATGGTAATAATTTCTTAAAAAAAAATATGACATTTTATTACTTAAAGATCTTCTGCAACAAGTGGTTTAACCTCGTATTTTTTAAATTTTAAAGCACGACTACAAAGTTCGTTACTTGACTAGCTACAATAAAATTGTTCTTAATTCAATGTTTATATCCTACCTATTTTTTTAAATTTATGGGAACGTAAGAATCAGAATAAAAAATTGGTCTAAAGAGTTTAGACAGTACTTCTCTCGCTGTTGGAAACGTGACGACTGCATGCCTATTATGTTTTTTGTACATTTAAGATAGGATTTATTCAACAAAATTTTGAGGTGACGTCATCTCTTTTTAGGGGGGGGGGGGGATGAGGAATATATTTTGACTAAAAATTTACCATACCTATGATAATTGTAAAACATCTCCAATATTTCAAAGCATTCGGTTTTGTAGTTCCTGATTAAATAAATAAAATATATTCACACATTCATTAATTTTTTTGAGTCACCCTGTATATGCAAATCCAAAAAATATTAATGGAATGATAAATTACACTGGAGAAACAGATCAAATTATGTCCTAATTGAAGAAGTATACAATTAAAAATCTTATGTTATGCCGAAGAGAATTCAATGCCTTCGTTAACCCTGACAACATTTACATTTTATCGACCTATCATGACCCCTAGAGGACGAAAAAATAGGTCTCCCGTTTCCGTCTGTCTGTCGGTCTGTACGTTTGCCCGTCTGTCCGTCTGTCTGCCGTCCCGGATTTTTATTAGACAAATAATCTCCGAAAGTACTGCGCCGAGTGTTGTCACATTTCGTATTTATATTAGGTATATCATGTAACATGTAAATGATATACCTAATATAAATACGAAATGTGACAACACTCGGCGCAGTACTTTCGGAGATTATTTGTCTAATAAAAATCCGGGACGGCAGACAGACGGACAGACGGGCAAACGTACAGACCGACAGACAGATGGAAACGGGAGACCTATTTCTTCGTCCTCTAGGGGTCACGATAGGATGTAGATGGAAAAACGCTAACCAAAATTTGTTTAATCATCCCCACCACTAATGTGATGACGTCACGTCAAAATTCTACATAGTAAATGGGTTTTAGATTGTATCAAATAACATAGTCTTACAAATGTAGTTTATGATCCGAATTGAGATTTTACCCAAAACGTCCAGATTTTTGGAAAAAAATCAAAATTAGGAAACAACATTTTGACATTTAATTTGGAATCTGCAAAACCGAATGCTTTGAAATCTTGCAGATGGTTTACATTTATGATAAGCATGATAAGTTTTTGTTCAAAATATATTTACTTGTCCCCTCCAAAAAATTGATGACGTCACCTGAAAAGTTTGTCGAATAAATCCTCTCTAAAATGTAGAAAATATGATGAGTCTGTACTTGTAATTTATCATTCCATTCATATTTTTTATTTGAATATACAGGGTGACTCAAAAAATTAATGTTTTGAAATCTTGGAGATGTTTTAAAGGTATCATAAGCATGGTAAATTGTTGATCAAAATATATTTGCTCATCCCCCCCTTAAAAAATTGATCACGCCAGCCCAAAATTTTTCCGAAAAAATGCTATCTTAAATGTGCATTGTGCAAAGTATGATGAGTCTATAATTGTAATTTATCACTGCATACATATTTTTTAGATTTGCTTCTAAGGGGTGTGTGGAAAAAACTAATGACTGAGTCAATTTATTTTATTGATTAAATCAAGAATTGCAAAACTGAATGCGTTGAAATCTTGACGTTTTGTAGTTATTGTAAGCATGGTAACTTTGTAATGAAAATGTATTGGTTTATCAACCCCAAAAAATTGATTACGGCATCTCCAAATTTTGCCGAATAAATTCTTTCGCAAATGTGCAACATTTGAACAGACTTTTAATCATTGCATTCATATTTTTTAGATTTGCTTAAACAGGTGACTCAAAAAAATTAATCAATCAGTTAATTTATTGTTAATCAAATTAAAAACGAGCCACCCCATTTTCTGGAAAATGTGAGAATACGCTCGTCTTTATAACAATAAATTAATGATAAGGTAAGAATTATAATAATAACATTCAGAATATTTTGTTCAATGGAGGCTTATGAATAATTTTAGTCATCTGTTTTGGGGCGATAAACTCATTCAAATCAAACAAATGTCTACGTGACATTCTTCCGATGTAATGTATTCCCGTTGATAATGTGCTGTAAATGAATTTTTTGCACTCATAACCTCTTTTGATGACCTTGGCGTATTCAACAGCATGCGGGACGTCAAACATCACGCACGGCTGCGTTTTGCTATGAAGTCGTTGTTTATAAATAAAGCTGGGCGGTCGAAATTTATTCATCCTATATACCCGTCTGAAGTGCGCCCGATGCATCCTTGCCTTACCCGCTTCTCGCTTTCCAATTGTGCATCATTTTTAATATTTTACAGAAATAGTTTTAGTTTCAGCGAGACCGACACTTGAAAATTATTAAAAATATTATTTTTATTATGTCGTGGATATGGATTTTAAAATTATCAACTGACGTACAGCTAACGTTAGTTTTCTCATACAGTGACAACGTTCCTGTTGTGTACAATAAAATTTTATGATGGTTTAAGCCAGTTAATTTCACAGCGGTTCATACCCACCATAAATTGTAACTTGAAAACCGGACAAGTAGAACACCAATAACCCGAGCGATTCTTAGTTACCCTTCTTCTGGTTGAACAAAAACGGCCCATGCCAAGGCGGTGGGACACTCAGTGAGTGAACAGCTTAGGTAACCCCTCGTAATGACATTGTAAAATTTTATTGTATACAACAGAAACGTTTCTACTATAATTTTCTTCGCGATGTGTAACATCGGTTGCGAGCCACTGGTCTGCCGTGGTCCATACGCAGCGCATAAATTTCAACCGCCTAGCCTTATTTTTCTTAGTATTACACTACATGGTGCACTACATCTATCCAAACTTTTTTTAAAATGCTCCGCTACAATAATGTAATGAAAAAAAAAACATAATAGGCATGCCGTCGTCACGTTTCCGACAGCGAGGGAAGTACTGTCTAAATACTAGACCAATCTTTTCTTTTAACACGTAGTTTTATGTATTATTGGTTGCATACTTCCAATACATTGATGTGTTATTTTTCAGATTGAACATAGGGACATTATGCATTGTGGATTGCGGTGTACATTATGTTCAGAGCATTCAGAGTTAAAAATGGGTCTGTATATACGTCATTGGAAAGGTTCCGTGCCGTGGTTCCGTGAATGCGTGACGCTACCTGTTGTGCACAATAAACTTCATAATACTCAATGCGCAAGACGCAACGGTGATACAACAGAACCAATTCGATCATTCGTCATTCGTCGATTTCGATGTTCAGTACTTCAGTTTCAAGTTTCAAGTTTCCGTTCCGTCGTTGAGTATCAGGTGTTGGTGTTTACCGTATTTTGTTCACCCCTTGAGCATGTGCAGTTTCGGTGCTTTCGCCGGTGTAACTGTCAAGTGTTGAAGTGTTGTTAATGCGTAAAACAACGAAGTAAACCTGTGGCGAAGGAACTTTCATTACAGTTGTTATTATTATAGGATTCTGGCGTTTAATTTCAGTGTGTGATGGTGATGGAACTGTGTGCAATCTTTATAGTGGATGTTTAATGCAAAAAATTTGGAACTGTGATTTTGGAAGATGCACGTGTCTATAAAGGTATGTCGTATTTTTACTTATTACCAGGGCCCCTGTTGGGGAGGCAGAGGAGGCACTTGCCATAGGCGCCAACTTGAAACAGGCGCCAAATGTGGCTAAATTCAATTTTAAATTATTGAAAATATTTGAAACATGCATTTTTGTCTAGATTTCGGAATCGGGTAGTAAACGCCTTCGCTAAAATGTAAGCGATATCTTTATGCTTTAAACCGGCCTGAGGGTAAAAGCCTGGCGCCTTGGCCGTCAAGACCGGAAGTTGGACTGTCAGACACCGAGACCCAATATATATTAGGCACTAATAAATAAACACTTCATTTGTCGGGATCTTTGTTTGGTAATGTATACTTTTTATTTTAGGGGAGAAACACATGTTCTGTCCCCGAATTTTCGCAAAATAAGTTTAGTCACAGTTTAGTCTTGTCTTTGCAAGCATACGAAACAAACAAAAACCAGATTGTCGTTCATTTCTGCTTTCTTTTAATAACATTGTATTATAACGTGAATTCTTTCAGTGTCAGTGATTTAACAAAGGTAAGAAAAATAAAATTCAAAATATAAAATTACATCCGCCCACTGAATGTGTATAAGAAATTAAAAAAATATGTCTGAAATTAACAGATGTCCGGACTTGGAATGAAAAGAAAATTATCTGGGTGGGATAACCATAAAAGAAAAATTGCAAAACAAGCAGAAATAAAAAAACAAGAGGGTTCCTTGAAGAAATTTTTACTTCCACCATCGGACAAAGTGATTCACGATGAACCTTCGACTTCTCCCACATTTTCGGAGGTATCCGTATCACCTTCAGCTATAGCAGCAGAAGAACCACTGGAGGAAGTAGCTGCAGAAACGCAATTAGAAATTACGGAAATTTCTGATGATCCGTCGTTATGGCCATCAGAGGTTACGGATAACATAAGATTAATACTTGTAAAAAAAGGACCTGTTCAAGTTAAACAAAGGGACTGTTTATTTCCGTTAACAAATGGTAGGCGTTTTAGTGAAAATTATTATGAACGAGTGCTGTGCAATAACCAAAAAATTGAAAGATCGTGGCTTTTGTACTCTTTAAAAAAAGACGCAGTGTTTTGTTTTCCCTGCAAACTTTTTAATAGTAGCAGTGACAACAATTGGTGTAGTGACGGTTTCTGCCAATGGTAAAATCTTGGGCGTGCCATAGAAAGACATGAGATCAGTAAAAATCATACAACAGCATTTAAACAATGGAAAGAATTGGCGCTTCGCTTGAAAACACAAAAAACTATAGACAGTGAACATGAAAAATTGATTGACGCCGAAAAACGGCACTGGGAAAATGTTTTGGAAAGATTAATTATTATTGTAAGATATTTAGCTGGTCAGTCATTAGCTTTTAGAGGAAATTCAGACAATTTATATAATAACAACAACGGTAATTTTTTGCAATTAATTGAAGCCATTTCAAAGTTTGACGAAGTACTATCTGAACATCTATTAAGAATAAAAAATGACTAATGTAGAAATCATTATCTAAGCAAAAATATCCAAAATGAATTATTACATTTAATATCCGATGCAGTGTTAAAAATCATTGTCCAAAATATTTTGAAAGCAAAATACTTCTCCATTATTTTAGACTGTACTCCAGATAAAAGTCATACTGAACAAATGACTTTAATTATTCGTTTTGTAACTTTCGAAAATAATTTTTATAAAATTAACGAACATTTTTTGTGTTTTCTCCCAGTTCACGATACCAGTGGAGTAGGACTTACTGAAGCAGTTTTAACAAAATTAAAAGAGCTTGGTTTGTCCATTAATGACATTCGTGGGCAAGGTTATGACAATGGTGCGAATATGCGGGGCAAAAATGTTGGAGTTCAGCAGCAAATAAAAAATTTAAATCCGAGGGCCTTTTACGTTCCTTGTGCCAATCATTCACTTAACTTGGTTGTTAATGATGCAGCTTCTTCGACAGTAGAAGGAATTTCTTTTTTTAATCTTATTCAAGAAATTTATGTTTATTTATCTGCATCAACTTCTCGCTGGAATGTACTTTTGAAACATGTTTCAAATTTAACTTTAAAACCTTTATCAGAAACACGTTGGTCAAGCAGAATTGATGCTATCAAGCCGTTTAAGTTTAACTTGGGTGACATATACGATTCATTGTTGAAATTATCCGCAGAAGACAATAAAGATCTAAAATCTCGTGTCACTGCAGAATCTTTAGCCCGAAAAATCATTTCATTTAAATTTATTTGCTCTGTAGAAATTTGGTACAACATATTAAGTAATAAGCATTCACGTTCGGTAGAAGTAACTGACAGAAACCTTTCTGTGGTTAAGTTGCAATCTTAAGATCACTAGAAATTTAAGATTGGCATCAACTGTCTAATTTTCTAATTCAAATGTCAAATCTGAATTGTGTGGAAAAAAACGAAGTTTTTCTAATTTCAACACGCTTCGTTTCTAGAAAATCCTTAAATACAGCGTGGAAACAGTTTCCATAAAAGTAATCACGAGAAAGCTCATTTTAAAGGAAAAGAAACAAGAAATATTTCGTGGTTTTCAAAAAATTGGGTAAAACGGAAACAGTTAAACTGGTGGCAGAAATATTCTCCGTAAAGTTCGCTAGTGTTGTCGAGTGTTTTTCGAATTTTAAAATAATACAGATACAGTGGCGTTTGTGCCGTTAATATTATAATCAGAATCAGAAAGACGACTGCGCAGATTTATATACCTACATGCTTTGTTGGTTCCGTTCTACAATTGGTTTTTAAGTTTTATATAATCGTTATTGTTTTGTAAGAGGTAAAACACTTGGCTTTGAAAATAATTGTACATAATACACGTATAAATTTAGGTTTCCGAAGGCGAAGTTTTTCACATTTTAAACACGTTATAGCTGCCAGAATCAAATTTCTAAGGCGGTACCTATCTCCAATTGCGTGATTGTGGTGAAGATTTACTTTTCATTTTCTTGAATGAGACATGGATATACCAGAACGGATCCATGGTGAAATTGTGGATCCATGATGATGACATCAAAGCTTGTCCTCCTAAAAAAAACTAGTGAAGGGAAAAGATTCAAAATTTTACATGCGGGTTGCTCTTTGGGCTTTTAGAGGGATGCGATTTTCTCCTTGGTTCAAAAATAGATTCACCAGATTACCACAAAACCATCACATTTTCGATATTTGACCTTTACTTACTTACATGTCACATTTTTGATAGCTACTTTCTGACATTCCAGTAATACATTATACACTAGAACAATTATGTCCGCAGTTACACAGCTTAAAAAAAAAAGTTACCAAATCTAGTTACATCTACCGAACGTGAATTCCTTATAAAATACATGTTGTTAGTAATTTATTACAAAAACCAAATTTAAATATTTTAGAATGTTTGAGACTCCTACAGGATATTAAGAGTAATTTAGTTCAATGGAGATCTGATAGTGAGTTTTTATTAGTGTTAAAGGCCGCTGCAGAAAATGCTGCAGCTTTAAACCTGGACATTCAACCAGTGTTTAAAAATCATTTACCTTTACGCAGTCGTAAAATAAAACCAAATTTTAATTATGAGGCTAAAGATGAAAATATTATAGATCCCCAAAAAAAATTCCAAATTGAATTTTATTATGTAATTTTAGATGTTGCAATAAATGCGGTTTCAGAAAGGTTTCAGCTTCTTCAGGAACACTGTGAGCTCTTTAGCTTTTTATATAATTTTAAAAATTTAAAAGAGATACCACCAAATGAGTTGTTAAAAAATTGTATGGACCTTCAACTGGCATTGACAGATGAAGAAAATAAAGACGTTGATGGTAACGATTTGTATAGGGAGTTACAAGATTTGTTGTTACCACCCAGTGTATTCGCACCAATAGATGTTCTAAATTATTTGCACAAAAACGAAATATTATCATTGTACCCGAACATTGCAATTGTCCTAAAACTTTTACTGACCATCCCAGTTTCAGTCGCTTCAGCAGAGCGAAGTTTTTCTAAATTAAAAATAATAAAAAATTACCTTCGGTCAACAATGACACAAGATAGGCTTAACGACCTCGCTATTATATCTATTGAAAAAGACATTGCCAAAGAAATAGACCCTCGTAAAATCATTCAACCCGTAAAATTAATATAAATTAATATTTTATAATTATCTATGTAGGTATTTTTTTTATTTGTTAGTTGTAAAAATAAAACCTGTTTTAAATGTTTCATTTGTTTTATAACACCTACAAAAAACCCTTTAGGCACATCTACATAGGCGCTTTTGAAAATGTTGCCTCCGGCGCCAAAAATACTAGGACCGGCCCTGCTTATTACTTTTACCAAGGAGTTGATAGCTTCTACGAAAGTGCTCAACTCGATAATGTCAGTTGCAAATTCAGAAATTATTTCCTTTAGATGTAAAGACACTTCATTACTTCCAAGTACCTACCTACTGCAATTTATAAATGTATTCCAACTACACTACTTATAATATTTAGTACATACTGTACCAGGAAAAGTTCACAAGATACGAGCAGCTGCTAACTTTTAAACTACTGCTACCTGACAAATGAAGTTTTATAATATAGCAAACCATAACGGCCTCTTCGAACTGCGGTGGATTTTTAATCCTCTACCGAATTACGGTTCAAAATTTTGTAACTACCTGTGATCTTATAGACACTGACCAAATTGTGATGTAAAATTTTGTATATAGTTCTGGAAACTGTAGTTGGCAGACCTAACTTTTAAAGCCGCCCGTAGGCAGTGTTGGGGACAGATATTTTTAAAAGTATCTAGATACAGATACAGATATATGGAAGATAAAAGTATCTAGATAGAGATTGTTTTCGATTTTTTCGAAATGTATCTAGATACAAGATACAGGAAAACAGATACTTTTTGAAGCTTTGGCGAATAGAATAACTGAAAACTTTTTATGTATTTTTTTATAACTATTTTTTTTATGTATTGTTTAATGAATTTTTTAAAATTAACATTTCGAACGTATTGTCA